GTTGATTAGATAATTGCATTAATGAGAAACTGAACAGGTGTTCCTAATAATCCTTTAGGTGAGTGTATATCTCTTTGAATAGAGAAATTTGGCTGTGGTCAACGTAAAATCAGGTCAGCTACAGCCTATAACTTTTTAAAAAGCAATAAAACATCCTTGTAAAGTATTACTATGATCAAAATCTGCAGTTTATTGCATATCTCTGCTGTCCACATGGCAGTCCAGAATGTAAAAAATCACAGACTGTCCCCCTTTGTAGTTGGCACAGTAATCTGTTGGCGCTGTCCACTTGCATAATGCGCTGCTAACAGTTAGGTCCCCCAGTTTATGGAGATATTGCTGAATACAGTATTTTAAGATTCATATTTTTACCATGCCAATCCATATGGACAGAATTATAATTCTGTTTAATGAGCAGTTTGGAAGCTTTCAGTGAACACTCTGAACAAACTTGAACATCATTAAACTCAGTTTACAGTGGCGTTGTAGCAACACAAAATTAAGTTTTCTGTGATAGATATAATTATCACTACCAGCTTCTCTCAGCCACCTTTCTAAACAAGATGAATAACTTGATAAAACACTTCAATGGAGATAAAGGAAGATGAGTGGTAGAAAACAGCCAAAGCTATTAAATGTTTGAGAGCATTTCTGTATATGTGTGACTATCAGGAGACGCCCCTTACATGAATAGGTGTGTGTCTGTGTGTGTACAGTAAGGCATTCCTTTAAGTGTGTCTCTTCGTCCAGATCGAGTGCCACCCATATCTGACCCAGGAGAAGCTGATTGCCTACTGCCACTCCCAGGGAATCTCTGTGACTGCATATAGTCCCCTGGGCTCCCCAGACAGACCATGGTGAGGAAATTCAGTTAATGTGGTGATGGGGAGCTGCCTGACTGTATGGTCTTAGTCATCTGTGACTTAACAGTAGGGGTGTAAATCACAGCTTTCCTCGTGATACGATACAGTATCGATTCCTTAAGCTAACGGTTCGATTTATTTTTTTTTGATACCTCAGAAATTCCCACGTTGCGATACGATATGATTCGATTCAGTTCGATACTGGGGATAGTAGTCGAGCTGTGAGAGCGACACCTCTCTGCTCAATAACCTGAACAACTTCTTTGCACGCTTTGAAGCACAAAACAACACTCGCCCACAGAAAACCCCACTGCCTCCACACGACCAGACTGGCAAGTGACCAGGAATCTGCCCCCCCCTCCCAAAAGAAAACACTCTGGATCCACAGGAACAACTACCTCTGCACTATGCAAATTGCACACATCTGTTACCATTATTATTATTACCATTACAGCTGCTATTATTGAATGTCACAGCACATAAACACTTTATAATACTGGAAACACTTATTATTACACTCTAATTTCTAAGAGTATATGCCTTAAGCTACCTGCACTTTATATACTGTTACTCAGTAGTTAGGATGTGTTTTTGTTGTGCCATTGCACTTTGCTGTTTGTCCTATCCGGTCATGTCTTGTCGTGTCTTATCTGCACATGGGACAGTGAGGAACGCAATTTAGATTTCTTTGTATGTCTAGTACATGTGAAGAAATTGACAATAAAGCTGACTTTGACTTTGACTTTAACTTTAAAAATGTAAAACATATATTTATGTATAAAAATATTGAGTATTCTTTAATAATTATTTCCATTATTATTATTAATTTCCCTTTGGGATTAATAAAGTGTTTTTGAATTGAACTGGGATTTTAAGTTCCTTCACCTTTCTATTTCTTTTCGGAGGGAAGTTAATGTCGTAGTTTTTATGAACAGTCCGAAAATGCCTCTCCACATTTCCCTTCTTCGGACAGATGAGGCAAATGCACTTCGAATATGACATGGTGAAATAAAACAGTCCTCCTCCCATTCCGTATGGAACTGGTCGGTTTTTGGCTTCTTACTTGGTCCAGCTCCCCCATTCATTTTTATACCTTTTCTTAAGTTTAGTAGAAATAAATTGGAGGCTAACTAGGCAACTCGGTAGCTTGCAGCAGCTGCCGCGGTTGAACGCGTCATCCATCCTCTATTTTTTATGCCATTCAATCTACCCACAATACCTTTGCAATCGACCAGTAGATCGCGATCGACGTAATGGGCACCCCTGGTGTAGACCATGTATACGTCAGAGTGGATCATGAAAACAATACTGGAGCAGGCCAGAAAATAAAAACGCATGTATCGATATTTATGGGGTCACATCGATGCATCGGATCGTTTGCCGTTGAATCGATATATCGATACAAATCGATGTATTGTTACACCCCTACTTAACAGGTCCATAGATGTTTATGTAATTCAGGGCAGGCCAGCCTTATCCACAAAGGGCCGGTGTGTATGCAGGTTTTTGGGATAACCTTCAGGTCAGCTGCTCAAACACAGGTGTGAGGACTCTTCAGCCAGTCAGTCCTCTAATTAGTAATCTAATTAGGCAGTTGCAGTGAAACCCGCATACACAGCGGCCCTTTTTGATAAAGCTGGCCACCCCTGACATAATCTGATGTGATGCGAGCTGTAGTGCAGCTGTGAGCCTATCAACCTGATGCTGGTTTTATCTGCCCTCAGGGCCAAACCAGAGGACCCTTCTCTGCTGGATGACCCTAATATCAAAGCCATAGCGGAGAAGCACAAGAAGACCTCTGCTCAGGTCAGTAAAAGGTGTACTAGACTCTGTTGTGGGGTGCCATTGGCTGCTGCACAGTTTTCTTTTTGCTACTTGGATAGGTGCTGATCCGGTTCCAGATCCAGCGGAAGGTGATGGTTATTCCCAAGTCGGTCACACCGCAGCGCATAGAGGAAAACTTCCAGGTAACGATATCGTACAGATGTTTCTGTGCATTTAATGATTTTTTTTTTTTCAATCACAACTAGGAATTTGCTGTCGCCAGTTCAAAATAGATGGCTTTCTTCAGATAGCCTAATCAATGCATTTGTTCCTCTAAGTGCTTGTTGAATGCTAGTGGTCCTGTGGGTCCAAACAAATCTATTCAGTCATAATCAGTGAAATTAAATCAAATACTGCAGCCACATAACCGTAAGACCATTGAAAGATATATCACCTTGTTTATTTTGTCATGAAGATTTCATATCATTCACAAAGTATATTATTCTTCAGTGAGTGTAATTTTGTTTTTTTTTTGTTTTTTTTTTTTTGTTCTAGTTGTTTTCTGTAGCATGTCACAATATTTGGCATTTATTTTTCTAATCCTCAATGTTTAAAAGCAAAATCTTGCTAACACAGGATGGTGGCTTCAGGTTTCCCTTCGAGAAATGTGTGTGTGTGTGTGTGTGTGTGTATATAATATAAAAATAAATATAATTTTATGCTTTGCTACAGGTCTTTGATTTTGAACTCAATGACGACGAGATGAAGACCATCCAAGGATTTGACAGAAACTGGAGAGTCTGTCCCATGCAGTGGTGAGTCAGCTTGTCCAATCCTTTTTTTTTTTCTACCCCTGTCGTGTCAGGCAGTTTAGCAAGCAGGATGTCAGTCTGGGTGCTTTATTGTGCCAAGTGGAGCTTCGGATTAAGCGCCTCTCGTTACTTGAGATATACTCTTTATTCACCATTTTAGATTATTGCGCCATTAAGCCAGAGCCGACAGGGAAAGTTAACTGAGATAGGAGAGATAAAGAGAGGAGGGAGAGAAAGAGGAGAGGGAAAGAGAGAGAAAGAGAAGACAGAAAAAAGAAGAGGAAAAAAAAGGGGGGGGTCAGATAGAGAGAGAAAAACAGGGAAAGAAAGACCGGCAGCTGCCCACCCCGAGCCCACCTGCCAGCGCCCGCCGCCCCCGCCACACCGAGGATGCCACACCCCGTCCGCCCCCCATCCACCTTGATCATTGATGGTGTACATGTGTGTGAACTAAGGTGTCGTTAAAATATGGGGGAGCATATGGGGAAAAGACACCCACCGGCCCCCCCAAGCCCTAAGTGTCTAAAGTGGAGTTAAAATAGAGGGGAAGGGAGCTGCGCAGTCCAGCTGTGGGCAGCCGAAGCAGCCGACCCAGGACTTGCACAGCTCCCCCCGCCCTCCAAGGCCCTATGTGAAGGAATGGTGTGACATGGATGTATGTCTAAAATGCAGTTAAAATAATGAGGGGGGGTGAGTGGTTAATCATCCCCCCCCTTCCCTCTGTGTGGTGCGGTGTGATGTCTTCGGTGTGGCGTCTAACGTGTAGTTAAAAGAGATGGGGGATGTCCAATCCTCTTTACACTGGTTCTGGTGAAGCATTGTCTCTGCATGTTTAGACACCGTGTTCTTCATGAATCATTTCCTTAACAGATCCTACCGGTAATGCTAACTGAGAACCACACTCACCATTGTAACCCTTTAATGTATAATTTCTTACAGTGCCATCTTATCTAGATGTTACACTGGTCTGTTATCTACAATAATGTGTACTAGTTGGATTGTTTGAACTATTAGGACTTTCAGTTTGTTCTTTATTTTCCTTCCTTCAGGGGAGTGAAGCACAAGGACTACCCCTTCCATGCTGAATATTGAGTCAACAAGCCACATCTTCCATCACTACATTTTATTATTTTGGTGTTTGCATTTTCCCTGTAACTCCTTGTTTTATCCCAACCCCCAGTAAATTTTCAGGAAATGTAGTTTGTCAAGTACGAGTTATATTTTGGATTGTGGACTAAACAAGTACACGTATAAAAATACTAAATTTCAATTTTGATATACTTTTAAAATATAGGTTACAACCAGACCTATCTTGCATTATTTTTCTAAATTGGAAAATGACATATTTCCATTATAAAAATTTATTTTGAAAGCTGAATCTCTTAAAAGCACTTGTAACTGTACCAGGTTGGCAGTCTGTCGTCTTGTAACATGAATATTTTCCCCTATTTTCTGTCCTGTGTATTTCATGCATTTTTTAAAAATAAAGTTCATTGGCTCCACTGCGTCTGCAGTCTGCTTGTGGGAATGTATACAGTTTCTATTATGGCTGTCAGTTCACATGACAGTGTTGATTTTAAAGCCATAATGCATTATTTCTTTGATTACATTAACACATATGCTGTATTTTGATACTGAAATGGGAAAACAGTATGAGCATTGATTTTATTTATTTATTTTTAAAGACCTGTACTATTCCTTCCCGATTTGTTTACAATGTGAGAGATTTGATCATGATGTTGCATAGAATCCCAGAAAAGCATAGCTAAAATCAAAACACTAATTTGCATCTCACAGGGTAGCTAATGGAGTGGAAAGACAAGGAAACATTGTTACTTAGATCATTTCATAAAAACACAAAATTTTGTGATTAATGTCAATTAAAAAATAGTTGTTTGACAACCCTATTTATATTATAATGTCCTCCATTTTCTAAATGTCATCTGTTTATCCAACCTTTTTCCTTGCATGTGGTATTTTTGTTGGAAATAATTAGCGCCATCACCTGCCTGCCCTCCTCATTTAGACTTAAAATTTGGACTGTACCAATTAGCATCTTGTTCATTCGACTTCCTCTACCAGCCCCAGGAGACTGGGCTCCCCCTTTGAGTCTGGTTCCTCCCAAGGTTTCTTCCTTCTAGCTCTTCCTTGCCACTGTCGCCTCTGGCTTGCTTATTGGGGGCTTTTGATGGGCACAATGAACTTTGAGATAATTTAATGTTGTGAAAATGCACTATTCAAATAAAATTCAATCAATAATCTATATATGAAGTTGAAGTTAAAATGTTTTATTAAAATATTAAAAACTGATTCACAGCCCTAATTTCTATACAAGACTCCATGACATAAATAATATTTCATGTCCATCTTGTAAGGGTGCACTTGGGTTTCCTAAAAGTCCTCTAACACTTTTGAACAGACATAAAGCAAGACCATCTGATTTCCTTAGTAGAATACTCAAGCTAAACCACAGAAATACATCCTCTAGCCTTCTGCCACTGAGTTGTTACACGATATCGCTATAATCATTAAATTGTATATAGCCGTGGTTGCCAATACGTCAATCATGAGCTCCCTATACTTTCATCTGTAACTGTAATGTATGTGCATGTGTAACTGTATGATGTTTGTATGTTGTAGGGTGTTATGGTGCTACTATAAACTGAATTTCCCGGAGGAACCCTCCCGAGGGATTAATAAAGTTTTCTACCTACCTACCTACTGCTGAGGTTGGGCAATCACTGCTGACCTGAAGGCCAGCATAGAAAGTCAGAGGAATAGCAGTTCAGGTCTGCTTAACCCACTTATTTATACTTAGTATACTTATTTATTCATATACTATTGCATTACCTCCACTTACTGCCTATTTTGCACACCATAGAAATCTATGTTTATTATGCATTGCCTAATGTTTGTAATTTGTTGTGTCTTGTCTCTGTTTTGTCTATTAATCTTATGTCCCTTTTTACAGTCTGTGGCTAGGCAACCTTATACACATGTAATCTTGAAATTTGTAACTTGAATTCAGTTTTTTTTTTTTCTTCACATATGTACATATACATGTAAAATATGTACAACCTATACAATGTATAACCTTTTTATATCAAGTACAGGGTCATGGACTTTTTATATTAAGTGGAAGATTAGCAAACTGGATGCTGAAGATTCAGCATAATTGTAATGTAATTTAGTGACAGTCACTTCACCTTTAAAACAATAAAGTGCTCTCACCTTGTAGTGTATGTTTAATTGTATTCAGGGCATATTAAAAAGACTGTGGTTGGTTGTCTGCTTACACGCAATGACATTAATGTGTCTGGTATTGATGGCTCACTGAGAAATTCTACTTTAATGTCCAATGCCCAAGGCTAGCCTTGCCCCTTTCAGATTTGCTTTTGCTTTGTTTGTTTGCTCATTCCTACCTTGGTTAGGTCTCAACCGAAGATTTCAATGGTTTGTATTCACTAGCTCTCCCCTGCACTGTCGAGAAATGAGAACTTCGATAGCATTGGTGATAAATGTGTGACAATGACGCACTACATCAGATGGAATGGAGTCTTTGAACAAGATTATATTTCACATTTTCATCCACCATGTTTATTATAAGTAAAATAGAGCATCTGTTATCTCTCAAACTGTTGCATTGTACAGAGAATAAACCCATTTTATGGAGGCCTCAGAAGCACTACTGTTAAACCCTTATAGACCATAAACCCACCACCCATAAACATACTACAAAAAGCAATGAAATCCCATAAACCAGCACTAAACACTGCAGTATAATCCTCTGAGGATCGAGAGTGTCACACTACACGGCGCACGGAGCGTTGACAGAAGCGCAGGAAGCCAGTAGTTGGGGCGAACACGGAGTTTAATTGGAACAGCAACGATAGGGACAGGCAAAACACGGGGTAACATTACACGCAACAATGCAATGACCGGACTGGGGAAACAAACGGAAACGCGGACTAAATACAATGAACTAATGACAACAATCAGGAACAGCTGGTAAACACGGGGAATCCACACAGGGTAAACGAGGGGGCGTGGTACACAGGAGGAGCGGACGATCAGGTCATGACACAGAGAATATACTTCTCTAAAATACGTAATATTTACAATACATGTAGAGAGACTATGAATGTAAATAACATTATAATTGGGTGACAAGAAAAATATCCATCCATCCATCCATCTTCCAAATGTTTATACTGAGCATAGTTGGGGGGTGGGGGGTCTGGACCATATCTCATGTAACACAGAGAAGCACAAGGCAGGGGAACTCCCTGCTTGGGACAGCAATCCAGCCCGTATATTATTTACAGATTACTTCTCACCCTTATCTTCAGTTGTGAAATAAATAGCTACAGTTGTAGAGTGCCACTAAGTTTCCTAACACTGTACCTGATATACAGGCCTACAGATTTAAGTCGGCAAAGTCAGTAAAAGTCAAAGTGGCTTAATGACTTTTACACGGTTGTAATATGTACTGTGCTCTTATGGGCCAGTAAAAATGCTTTTCAAACAGATGTCTGTTAACCATTAACACAAAAGGATACATAACGTAAACATTTTCTCCTTCGACCTATGAATTCTGAAGTGGGATAAAGGTTGGCCAAATGACCCCAGCCAGAATAAGCAGCTAAAAGATGAATGACTGGATAGATAGATATATAAAGATTGGCCTAAAATCTGTTTATCTTTACTCATGAAATAAGTAAATAAATGCCTTGATTTTGTGTGCTACTTTCTAAAACGTGTTTGAATATGATAAGAAATTTTTTGAATATGATAAGAAATATGCGATATGTTGGTGCCCCGTCTGGGGTTATTCCCCGCTTTGTGCAGGATGTTTCCAAAATTGGCTCTTTGTGGAACTGAGTATGGGAAGTGGATCAGGAAAATGAATTGATGAATAATAAATATATAAAATCCTTGAGGTAAAGTTGCTTGAGGTAGCATTATTTGGACTTTGCATTAAAAGGTGGCATGGTTGGTCAGTGTCTCAAAGCTCCAGAGTTGGCAGTTTGCCCAGTGCTGTGTGGGTTTCCTCCAGATACACTAGCATCCCCCTGTAGTTCAAGCACATGCAGGTAGGCAAATCAACATCATTGTGTGTGGTGTATGATGGACTGGCACCCCATCCAAGATGTTCCTCTGCTTTGTGATCTGTATCAACTGAGATAAGCTCGAGAATACTCAGATTCATTCGACCAAAAGCATGTTCATGAAAAAGTATTTGCCCTTTTCCTGATTTTTTTATTTTTCTGCATATTCATCACACTTTTTTTCTTCATGTCTTCAAACAAAAAACAATGAATACATGTCAAAGACAACCTAAATAAACACAAAATACAGCTTTTAAATGATCATCTCATTTATTGAAGTTATCCAACACCAACTATCCCTGTGTTTAAAAAGTAACTACTTAACCAAAGCAACAAATTAACCAAATCTGGGGGAGCAGGGGAAACACACTAAAGACTGACAATGGGGAGGATAGGATGGCCAGCGACACCTGCTGGCCAAACAGGGAGAAGACATGAAAGACTGGGACAAACAGGTGCTGACCCTGATGGTATGGAATCAGAATAGTGCCATGTGTAGTTGTATGTGTACTTTCCAAGTTGCACACAATTTTCATTTGCAAAATACTGAATAGAAATATGTATCACGTGACCTGTACTTGTATATAAACGTTTTTGAATGAACGTAAAAAACATTTTGCAAATACACGTCAATATTTTTTGTAAATGTGGAACCAAACTGTGTAACCAAATCTTCCTAAAAATATTTTTACAAAGATAGAATGGTTTTCAAGTACAAAACCTATATTGCAAATACAAGTCCTCTTGCAAATACCAACCTGCGAGTGCGAATTCACACTTACGCACTTAAATAATTTTGACACTATCTTGCCTAGCGCTTTGCAGATAAATATTTGCTCGCATTGCCACCAATCAAATGAACTAATTTTCTAGCCAATCATAAAGCTGCAGGTAAGGTAACAACCAATTCTGGCCTTCCAGTAAAAAAAATGCTGAAGAAGATGAAAATGCTAGAGAAGGACTTTATATGAGAAGATAGTAGTCAGAATGGGCCGTTAAGTTGTGTCTTGAATAAATCCAACAATTTGATAAAAATTGTACTGACGTACAGAATAAATTAGGCACGCTAGCAGTAATGATATGATAACGCCTTATCAAACTATGATGCAATTAATTTGTTTACTGATGCTAATTCTATTTTTAGCTGGATGTTTCAGCAGACATAATGTTTTTAAAATTAGCAATAAACTTTTTTGAATGCTAACTATAGGTTACTTGTTAAATCAGTGTTTCATACCAAGTCTACTAAGACCGTGAATGTTTTGTTTGTTAATGTCTTACAATATACGTAGGAAATCTTAATAATAACGAAAAGATATGTTGTTAAAACGGGTGCTATAGTATTTTATTCTAAGTTCTAAGTTACATTAACACATAAAACAACTAATTAATGATACAGTAATTATCCAGTAGTATGGTTATGGTATTATGCAGGACACCAGTGGTGTTGAACAGGCAGTAAGGGCAATGGAGGACTCACATCTGCACCAAGTAAGCCTTCAGCTGAGACAGACACACAGAACCAAGCATCTGCCAGGCCTGAAATGAGTTCCAGTGTACCGGTCCAGCAAGAGATGTGCAGGTTGCAGTAGTTTACTTAGAGGGTAATCATGGATCACATGTTATCTGATGACTTCAAACTTTATTGCTGTTTCAATTGTTCTCAAGATCCTTTCCAGGGCTGTTCAGAAAAGTGCTTGTACCATATATTCTATTATGCAGAATTCTTTAGCAGAATTCATACCTGTACCTTTATAAAGCATCCATCCACCAGTGATGTTACCTAGTTCAGGACACTCCATCCCCAGAAGTTTTACAATCTGTTCAGAATAAATTCGTTTTACATATGAAATTAGTAATTATTGAGAGGCAAAAAAGCATACAAATCATGCTATGATCAAAAGTGTATTTGCAAATGACGTAACTTTGTAATGCCAGAGATGACCGTTAACTTATCCGACAGTATGTCATGACCTTCAAAAGGAATGAAAATATTAAGTGCAGGTGTGAAGTGCACTGCTAGGACAGTGCGTATCAGGCCCCTAGAAGCAGGACTGAGCTCCCATAAAGCAAGGAAGAAGCCCTTCATTAATGAGAAATACAGAAGAACTAGGCTGAAGTTTGCAAAAAAAAAATTCAAAATCAATTACAAATGCACACCCATAAATTGAGAAATGGGTGAAACAAAAAAATGTGCTGTGGTCTCAAATTTTTTTCACGATTGTATGCGAGTAAGCATTCCAAGATTGTCATTAATTGCATCCTATCAACTCAGTATAATTTTTTTTCTGTTATTATGCTGTTATCTGTTTCAGAAAGTACTTGTAATAGATGCAGCTACAGCTTCCCCCAAGTTCATATTTGTTGGTGAGGTGCGTTTCAATATAACAAAAATGAGGCAACAGGGAAGGAACAGAACTATCTAACCTGCCATTGCTGAGGTTCCGAGCCCGCGAGGCTGCCCACGTGATTTTACGTGTTTTCCGGTATGACGTAAAAGGCCGAGCACGGCGCTCTTTGCGTGTTTCGTGTTACTTATCGTTACTTACAACGAAGTTGTTCAAAACTACAGTGTCTGATTATAAATATGTTGCAGTTTCTGGTAAGTATATATGATCCAGAATATAGTACATTTTCAGATATTATTGCGTTATTTGAATGGTGTAAGATGTTAACAGGCTAACTAAGTAGCGGTGTGTTTATTATTGTCCATACTGTTGTTTAACTGTGTTATGTCGGCTGTGCTAATTTTTAGTGGCTTTCTTAGAGATGCATATCGACTTTATATCCATAGCTCAGTGACGCTCTGTCTTATGAGATTGGAAAATATATTAATATGGGGTTGAAGAAATCTGAAAACCATGTTTCGGTCAGTACTACTGTAATTTAGTTCACTTTCGTGTTGGTGACAAGCACCTAGAACAACTGTTGTCCATTTTACTTGTTTAAAATAAAATACGAGATATCGTGTCATGTGTGGCTTACGGTGCTGTTTCTTATCTGGACTTTAGGTGGGGTTTACCCTGGGTAATGTAGTTGGGATGTACCTTGCGCAGAACTACGAGGTAAGGTCGTGTAAGAACTGAATGTTCGGCTTCAATTTTAAAATAAGAGCTGCTTACTAAAAATGGCGTGGTGCTATCCCAGGCTAGTGTGCCACTTTTCATGGTTATTTTCTAATGTATAATTGCCCTATACAGATGGAACACATCATTCTGCAATGTTTGCCTGTTCCTTGAAAGCTCTGAAATGTGCAATGGGTTGGTTTTTCAATTTCTGTCAGGTTCCAAACATTGCAAAGAAGATTGAAGACTTCAAGAAGGATGTTGAGGCCAAGAAGAAACCACCAGAATAGTGCGAAATGAGAATGAGATTGGCAGAAAACGCATAATATATTCCACATAGAAGAGAATGACCTGCTGTGGAATAGTGGGATTTACCTGGAAACCAGAAGCATTTAAAATATTAGACCTTTTCAGGAGTATATGTATTTAGGAACATTAAAGACAAGGCACTAAAACAGGCTGTACACCAATCAGTATTCACCAGTTTGTGGACTGCTTTTTAACCCCTTTTGCAAATGTATAATGATTCACACTGCTGTTTTGGTAGGGGGATACATATTAGATTTTTTTTTTTTTTCCTTCCAAGACCTACATGTAATTTACACCATTTTTTATGTGTTACTGCCAGGTTGAGTAATGATGTTCAGAATGCCTTCTACAGTTGTATTCCAGGGGAGGTATATATGTCTTATAATGTGTTTTTTCTATTGTCAGCCAAATGATTTTAGATATATAAAACATGGTGCTGGAAGTCAATGATGGTGCAGAATAATTTGATTTTTTCTTGAGCTGTCATAGACCTGGTGCCTAAATCTGATGTCCTGTTAGTCTCTGTGCTGTACTGAAATATGCATTCAGCCAGAAAATTGGATTTGGTGGAAAAATATAATTCAGCTATTTACTTGGTGTTAAATTTATATGAAGTAGTTTGTTCAAAGTTATGATAGTATGATTGTTTTCCATACTTTCATAAAACGTATATAATACATTATACAGCTGAAATATATTAAATAATATTAATATGTTCTGAAAATTGAACAAAATTTATCCTACTAAGTTAGAAGCCCCATGAAGTACATAAAACATCAGTCCCACATTTGATTTCAAATCAAATTAGTGTTAAGTCATCTTTACTTTCCTTGGTCAAACAGTTCCTACATGACTCTTAATGGAAACTTCCTCAGTGCCTTTCTGAGGCCTGGGAAAATGACACCCAATAATGAAGATTTGTGTAATTGAATGCTGGTTCTGGTTTTGTTCCATTATTTGGTTTTACTAAGAATCAGGCAATGGGACAATAAGAGAGCTGCACAAGTTAGGATTTTAATCAATGTCTAACATAACTGAATAAAATGTAGCTCTAACTTGCCCACAGTAGGCTCAATTTAATATTTTTAAAAAACTTAATTGGCACTTATTTACAGAATGTTTTATCTAATGTTGTGAGTCTTGGCTAGTTCTTACAGATGTCTATGAACATTTTTCTGACATTGAGGCTACCTTCACACTGTAGCAATGGTTCTGCATTCATCAGAAAATGAACCATGTCAATCCTGCAGCAAAGTTGTGAGTTTGAATCCACTCTGCTCTGTAGGTGTGGGTGTGTGTGTGTGTGTGTGTGTGTGTGTGTGAGAGAGAGGAGTTTGTCTATCACTCCTGTGTCACATGGATTTCCTCCCACAGTCCAAAGACTGCAGTTAGACTAATTGATGTCTCTAAATTGGCCATACTGCAAGATTGTATATGTACCCTGCAATGGACTGGCACCCCACCCAAGGTGTACAGCCTGTGCTGTCTGAGATCCAGGCCCCCAATGATAATGACCAAAATAAGGAGTTTGTACATTGTGTATGAAACAAAGGGTGGTGAATATAAATGGACTGTAGTTAACAAAGTGACACGTCAGCTACAAGAGTGCAAAATATATTGCGCTGTGAGAAAAATCTAATAAGTGTTATTAACTTCCAATTGGTGATAGTGAGAAGGAGTGGGCTTAGAAAGTGCTGGGTTTCTATATCAACAGTTGAATATTCTGTATGCCCAAAATGTTTTTTTTCCCACAGTCAGTGGAAAAATATGTCAGCCAACTAATTCAAGCTGATGTATAGAAGACAAGAAAAACAATCATTTAACCAGATGTTTGACAACCCTGCTGCAGGTTAGTGCAAAATGGTCAAGTGTCTTTGAAGGGCTTTGAATAGCAGACCACAGTGAATGAGCCATGAATGGTACACCAGCACCAGATGTAATTGGGAAATATGGACACTCGTTTGAATTCGCCTATTATTAATGACCCTCTCACTGAATTTTGTAAAGCGCAACCTATTATTTTAGTCTTCTGATAAGATTCTCATGGTCCTATTTAATAAAATGTACTTTTGTTATTAAGTTAATTATCCATATTTAACCCCAGTTGGAACAGAAATATATTTCTGCATCCTATTTGGTTCATTTCAGAAACAAAATATTTAAAATGTCCAAATTAAAACATAACTTAAGTTTTTTCGTCACTAACCTATTTCGACTTCATTACTCGCTGATTACGTACATGCAGTACACTATAAACGCCTCTACCGACAGAGGGTGCTGTGATCTTTTTAAAATTGTATTTTCTTAGTTATTTTTACTTCCGGTGCCACTGTATTACGACAGTAATGTCGTCTTCCTAGTGGCTGTACCAAAGGATGCGGTTTTAATTTGTGAGTGTACGGGTTTGTTTCCAGAACAAGAGGCTTATTTAAATAAAACGGTCTATGTTTCTATAACATCTGTTTATCTTGACATGCCAAACAGCGTCCTTAGATCTTATTTATCTGAATGCTAAGTTTTGTTAACTTCTACAATTACAGTCATTTGTATTAGAGTTTGTAGTGAAGGATGCATTTAAAACAAGTCTTAAGAAGGTGCTGCGCTTCTAACCGACTAGTTTCCACGTCATGCATTGCAGAGACGCCGAGCTGAAGTGACAGGCATGACGGCCCCGAACTCTGCACAGCGGCGGGCGTGCTGGGCCGCCAGGGACGACTTGTGGAAATGTCTTGAGGAGAACAATGAAAACTCGGCTCCTTGCGAGACACTCCGCAGGACATTCGAGGACAGCTGTCCAGCTCAGTGGGTGAGCCCCTTTCGTAGCCGCCTCCCGCAGGGTTGGTATCTTTGGTCAGCTAACTGGAGTTAGATTTTCAAACTACCACAACGCTTTTTTGTATCTAATTTTACATTTATAATGGAATAATGTATATATGCCGTAAGATATCTTGCGTGAGTCTCACGTCAAATGCGTCAGACTTGGCACCCTGCATCTGGTCCATCGTAGAGGTCACCCTTCGACTTTGCAGCTGAACATGCATGAGCACCGTTTGCTTAACAAAACTAAGTTTATTTCGCTGCTCGCAGAGAATTATTTTGAAAGTGAGTCCATTTACGGAAATTGTGTTTGTACTCCAGTTTACACAACTGCGTTTACTTTTACTTTATTTGTGATACACCTTTAATGAATTCTGGGACAATTTCCTCTCTTCAGATATAAAACTGTTGTCTTCTTGAGGAATCCAGTGGGTATAGCGACTTAATGTTTAACATGGTGACAGCTACCTTGATGATACCTCCCTGTAATGCTATAGGTTTTCTGATATAGTATGAAACAAGTTGCTGCTGAGTACCTGCCCTGTTACCTGGTATTTAATTAGTAATTTCTAGTTCATGTTTGTTGTTGCAGGTGAAGTATTTTTCTAGAAGAAGAGACTTCATGAAATACAAGGAGAAGATGCAGTATGATGGTTTTGAATCTTCACAGCAGTCCTCAAAATGAGGATAGCATTCATCAAATAGAAACCTGAAATGGCTCAGGTTACAACATACAATGTTCAGTCTGTGCAGACTTTTGAATGAATGGTGTTCTTTCAGCAAAGGCCATCTAATTGCAGTGTTTCTAGCATCCAAAGTGCAGTGCATTTGGGGTGCTGTTTTTACCTGAGCTCCTAATATCATGCTCACTGAAATTAAATTGGCATGCAGGTGTCGGGTGATTTCATTGTTGAAGGCACTGCAGCACAGCTTGAAACAAGCTGTTCAAGGGGCCAAATATCTGGGTTGAGAGAAAAATGGTGTTATGGAATTGCTGAAAAACCCATAGCTGAATTAAGTACTTGTCAACTTGATTTTGTCTCCCCTCCTGAAATACCTGCCGGTTCGTTACAAGACTGCCCCAGCAGAGATGTGTATGCCTTGCTCCCACTTACAGATTGATTCATAAATCTGTTAAATTGGTGAATAAAAAGTGCTCGTTTCACCCAGAATGCATCACAATGAAATTCTGTGTGCTGAATAAAACAAAGAAATTATTTTACCTTTGGTTTAATACTGCTTCACGTTATGCTGAATTGTGCAAGAATATAGTATTTTCCAGCTCAGTGGTCTCACACAATGCAAATTAAATTTTGTCCCTGTGTGCATCAGTTTTCTGTCTTACCACTATTCACGGTTACGCATTCTAGCTTAAGTCGTTTGTGTTCTCCGAAAACACTACTCAATGCTTTAGGTGTTTAATGAAGAATGTGGATTGCCTTGTACCAGCTCAGCGAGGTTTGTGTTTTTCATTAGTATGACACCACAGCCACATCCAGTCCATGAAGCATTTTGATACGGGCGTGAAATTACATGTTTTCGTTCATCATTAGGTCTGACTCGCAGGTCGATCGTTCATTTACCACTTAGTAATTTTTTCATTTCCTTGATGGGGCAGCTCGTGATTGAATACAGACACTCCTCACTTAACGACCTACATGTTTAACGACCGCCCAGACTTACAACCAGCTGTCCGACCAGTTGCCATTGTATATTAGAGCTGATATCCTATATTCTGTTTATTACAGTATATAGAACACTACTGCATAAACATTTATAAATATACAAAAAATGTTATAAATGGTGCAAAGGTGACATTAAGATATCTAAAGATGGTTGACACAAACCTAGTACCTGTTCATTATGCATGCAATATCGGTAAGGGGCGCCTTGCTTATCGACCAATTCGCTTAACGACCTGATCGTAGGAACTGAACTTGGTCGTTAAGTGAGGAGTGTTTATGTACCATATTTTGTGTATTATTGCTTAACTCTCGTTTCTCTATCGGCTCATAAAAACAGCTCAAGTGCACCCCTTGGGAGAACAGCTAGTGGTCCCCAAAAATTTGAGACCCTGAGCTGAATGGTCTGGTTTAGCGTTTAATATGTATTGGCTTGTTAAGGCCAATCTGATTGCCCTGCCAAGCAACACTTCAGCTAAGCTGGTTGGATGTTTGCCAAAAACAAAGCAACACTGAATTACATTTTAATTTACAACGTTATTCGTTGAACTTTTCATCCATCCATTTGTAGACTTCTGCAGTAAATCAATGATACGGTGAAGGTCAGTTAAAAAACAGGATAAGTACAAACTAAAATGTAAGACAGGTGGCTTAAGATTTTAAACGTCACCTTTTCACGTTTTTATCTGGTTTGCCTAAATAACGTAATAGCCTACAAGTTGAATGATTTCAAAGTATTAAATTGGGTTATTAATAAACCGCTGCTAAACCATGCACATAGCAGATCTAAGTTAAACTAAAGGACAAGCGGCCTCTAGTGGCGAATAAATGATATATAAAGAGTCGCAGCCGGTGGGTTACAACTTTAACTGCGGACAGGGGACGCAGCAATAGTTTGAGAAACCATGTGACTAGCCGTTTAAACTCTAAATTGCAGGTAAGATAAACGGCACATAAGAAACATTAAAAAGATTCAGCCTGGAATACAATTAACGATAACTATCATTGAAAAATAACTACATAGTTTTGTGCCCGTCAACTTCGTGATCTTAAAAAGGTGTAATATCCGGCTGTAATATCCATTATCTATTTGTTTCAATCTACTGTTTTAATAACACAATTACAAAATAAATTGGGACGCCCATACAGAAAACGAAATGAGCTCATTTTTATATTTTTGTCTCTATTAAAGATAGGCTACTATGGGATGATTGTCACTTATAACAGGTCAGCTGCAGCTGAAAGTCATCAACCTTTTTAATTTCCCACCTTAACGATCCTTGCTCCAATATGGCTTTTTATCGGGGTATTTGGGGTTAGATAAGCAGAAGCAGAATCCCTAGTGATAGGGATTTGGACAGTACCGGGTCTATATAGCAGGGATTTTTTTTTTTCCACGTTTGGTTATTTTTTTTTAACAAAATGTTCGATTCTTCTCACATTTCCTTTTTGCTGTGGTTCGGGTTACACCAAAGTAAGCTTAAAGCTACCTATAATTACTGATTGTATTATAATTGCATTGACGTTCCAAAGTAAAACCAATACTATGGTTTTATTAACATTTTTACAAGCATTAAACTAATGACTGTGCTTTTAAGGTGGCGCAGCCAAATTTCCAAATTTGAAGAATGAAGTGTTATCAGCGACCGTGACATTCTCCCAGAATCGCATCGTTTCAGATGTAAGTGTCGGACCCCTGCCGTGTTCTTCCGGCAGGTCAAAATATGAAGGTAAGCGCCTCCGCATGTTTATCATTTACTCCCCTCTAGTTACTTTGTTTAGTAAGAGGCTTTTATCGTGGTAATCATGCATATACGGCTCCCAGCCCTTCCAAATTTTATGGTGGCGTTGAATTATTTCCATTGTGATGGAATGTTTTTGTAGCTACTACATTGCTGCGACTCTAGCTATGTTGTAGCCAAAAACATCAAGGATTGTTTAACCGGTAGAACAAGGTTGGCGTATTTTAATTGATAGGGTGAACGCTGGTCCTATAATCTTTGAGAAAAAGAATAAGCTGTCTGATGTTAAAGTACACCTAAGCTTTGTATGCAATTTGCAGTATTAAATATGGTGTTTCTTAGTGCTCCACATGTGCAACAATGATTAGTTTTTTTTTTAAATATTCAAGTCAGAACTTGTCAACCCTATAGCTGACACTGTCAGCGTTTCTCAAACCAGTCTTCAGGGAGCCCCAGATGTTCCACGTTTTTGCTCCCTCCCAGCTCCCTGGGAATTGGCTGAGAGCTAAAGCACGGACCGCTGGGGGTCGCCGAGGATTGGTTAGAGAAACACTGCCCTAGGGCTGCAGCTTCTGACAGGGGGCCTACTTGCTAGCAAATCTAAGTTTTCTGATGAACTCCCCCCCCCCCCCCCCCCCCCCGATTCTCAGAGTTGTTTTCCATGCACTTGCAGTTGGTTATTTTGGCCAGTTACCTTACATGATGAACATGGTGACTTGGCATAACGTCATTAGTATCTGGACTGTGGTGGGAAGCATCATAAACGGACAGCATGGCGTTTCTGTGGGCTGTATCCGCAGATCTGGCTGGGAGGCGGGTCTTTCTTCCGGAGGAAGAGGAGCCGGAGACCAGGATTATCGGGGGCCAGGAAGCAGAGCCTCACTCATGGCCGTGGCAAGCATGCCTGTACTATTCCGACATGGTAGCTTGTGGGGGAGCTATTCTTGCCCCTGACTGGGTCATCAGTGCTGCTCATTGCTTCATAATGTGAGTGACCTCACAGTACTTTGTACAGTACTTTGTAATCTTATGAAGTGTTGCTATTGCATGCCAGATTATCACACTAAGTGTGATAAGTGGTTGGTTTCTTTTTATGTTCAGCAATACTTCAGCCACAGACAGTGCTGGCCATGTGGAAAGCTCAGATCATCATTGCTAGGAGCTAAATTTGTCTACCACATTGCACTTCCATTTTGACATTCAACGTAGTATGGCATTCATATTCCCAAAAAAAGTAACGGCCTGTTACAGGAATGGGGTTCTTCAGATCTAAGTGATAAGAGAAATAAATGCTTATTTTTACCATGAATGATATGAAATGTGATTTTATACTTTCTTCTGCAAGGTACCGCACCCCACGACTTTGGAAAGTAATGGCTGGTAAGCATGACCTGACCGACAGCCATGAGGAATGTCAGCAGGTGAGCAGTGCATTGCTGTTGTGGATCCTCTTCCCTCCCTACTAAGCTTGTGGCTCCAGGGATGTTGCTGTCCCAACTGCTTTCTGTTTTCATGTCTTCTACTTAAGAACATAAGAAATTTACAAACGAGAGGTCATTCGGCCCATCAAGCTTGTTTGGAGAGAACTTGACTAATAGCTCAGAGCTGTTAAAATCTTATCTAGCTCTGATTTAAGGGAATTCAGGGTTTTAGCTTCCGCTACACTAGCAGGAAGACTATTCCATACTCTAACTACACGCTGTGTAAGAAGTGTTTTCTCAAATTCAGTTTATAAAATGTTCTCCTGCTAATTTCCACTAATGGCCACGAGTTCTAGTATTTAAACTAATATTGAAGTAGCCATTTGGCTGAACAGCATCCAGACCTGTTAGAATCTTGTATACCTGGATCATGTTCCCCCTTAGTCTCCTTTGCTTGAGGCTAAACAGATTCAGCTCAGCTAACCTCTCCTCATAAGACATTCCTCTAAGACCAAGAATCATTCTTGTAGCCCTACGTTGCACCCTTTCCAAGGCATCAATGTCCTTTTTAAGGCATGGTGACCAAACCTGCACACAATACTCTAGGTGGGGTCTTACCAAGGAATTGTATTGTCTTAGTATCACCTCCCTTGACTTAAATTCTACACACCTAGAGATGTAACCTGAAGTAAATTAATTAATCAGTACATTCCATCTTTTAGGTGTCCCAAGTCTCCAAAATTGTCACCCATGAGCATTACAGTGAGATCACAAAGGCCAATGATGTGGCCCTCGTCAAGCTAAAGGTTCCCCTGACTTTCACGAACTGTGTTGTCCCCATTGACGTAACACAGCAGCCCCCAAGGCCCTCGATGACCTGTACTGTGACTGGCTGGGGATCAACAACAGAATGTAAATACTGGAAAAATGTCCTGTCAAACATGCCTATTCCTAAATTTTATTTGTTTGTTTTTAACAAATTTTCAAAAAAAAAATAAAAAAATTGGGGATGGGGTCCTTAATACAGTTGTCCCTCCAGATTTACATATTTGACATTTATGGTTTTGGTTATTTGCAAGTTGGCCATGTACAATTACAAAAATATTCCTATTTAAATTGTATGAAACAAGTCAAATGTATATACAATGTTGAAAATTATTTGGATCACAAATGTTTGATACTTGATAGCATAAGTTCATGCTATATGTTGAACATTAGTGGGATCTGTGCACTGGCTTAGGTACACCATGCGTCACTGTCTCCGCAACCAGCCTCGCATATGTTGGCCGTCTCTGTAACCATGGAATCTCGTTACTCCCAGCATCTCTAAAACATTTCAGTGCTGTTAACTTTTTGTAGTTTTAATAATAGACCCAAATATTATTGCCACATTTTCACATTTGTGGGGATCTTCTCCCCTTCACACTGGTAAGGGGACTTATGGTATGGTAATTGTGCCTTCAGCATTGTTGTAACTCATAACATTTTCTCTTTTTAATTGTACATTAATTCAGCAAGTCTGGCTCCTTGTTCTGAGCCTATGACTACTTGCTGTGACTGAAGGTTGATATCTCTGATGTTCTCTTCTCAGCTGGGCCTCATGTAGAGAGGCTTCAGGAGGTTAATGTGACTGTGATGAGCCAAAGTGAATGTGCCCAGTATTACCCAGGCGAAGTGGATTCCAGCATGATGTGTGCTGGGAAACCAAAGGGTGGAGCGGATGCCTGCCAGGTAGGCCTGACCATGGGGGGGGCACAGTGGGGACTGGGGGCCCTAGAAAATCAGTCCTCAAGATATGTAACAAGTTTAGAACCATTTTGATGAATTTTATTGTGGGACTCTTCAGTACTGAAGTTACCTCTTGGGGGGTATTCAGCATGTTTTAGTGCCAATGTTTCATCTCTTACCACGAAAATCGTGAGTGATCTAGTTTGTGTGTTTAATGGCTGAATTGAAGGATCAGTTGATTTGCTGTTTATTTGTTTAGATGATCATTTCAGTCCTATGGGAGAAGTGCTTCTATATAAAAAAAAAAAAGTGGGTAATAATCAGATTGTATCACTTTCTGATTTGGGAAATCAAATATCTTTTCAGTGATGCTTATTTGAGTGTGCTGTTCTTGTAGCAAGGTAGGACTGGTATATTCCATAGAGCAGGGGTCATCAACTATATTTGTCAGAGGGCCAGAGTTTTACCAGACAGTCTCCTTGGGGGCCGGACCCCCAAGAAGAAAATCAAATAAAAATCTAATTTTGGCTTAACAACATTGTTTAATGTTTATACTTTTTTCCATTTCATAGCCTAAATATAGTCATAAATGGTGGTTATTCTAACAAGACTCAGTTGTTATTTTTAGTTGCTTTAATAGTGTGGACCACTATTTTCTTTTTGATCCTCACAATTTTGGAATCCAGTCGCGGGCCGGATTGAACGGCTCAGCGGGCCGGATTGAACGGCTCAGCGGGCCACCAGTTGATGATCAGTGCCAGAGTTACATCCAGCTGACCTAGAATTTTTGTAACTTGAATATTTCAGGGGTGTAACATCAGGCAAATGTATTGGTTACACCATAGATTTATTTTTCCTGTAGCCAGGCCCATCACTGAGGTGGGGGGCCAGGGCCAGTCAACCTATCCGGTACAAAACTTGGTTTTGGGTTCACGGTTCGGTGCAATTTCAGTGCAGCAGGGATAACAATTAGTTTAGAAATCCATTTATTATTGAAACTGCAAACTCACAATTAGCAACTGTTGCATTCCAAAGGCAATGTCTGTCGACATGTCCGAATAACAAACCTAACAGACACTTATTTGCACATTGAAAACAATTGTGTAATATTTAAAAAACAAACCAGACATATAATATAACAATCATGATGAACTAATCGCGTGTTCTCTATTACTGAGTATGGCAAATATCTGTAGCAATTATCACCTCTATTTTCAGTCTGGTCTGAATTTCCTGATAGACTGCCCTGGGCATGAGGCACGTACTTGCAGAGGCTGTTTCTTCCTTCCTCTGTTCATACACACATTCAGATGACGTTATCTCAGATGAGTTGGCATGAATGCATGTATTTTCAGCAACATATCCAAGTTCGATATAACTGAGGCAACAGGCAGTTTTGGTGTTTAGGAAACTGCTCTCCTTCCATTTCTGGTGCAGTGTGTGTGTTTTTTTTTTTTTTTTTTTTTTTTTTGGGAAACCAGAATGTTCCCAAACCACTGATTATAACTGACTGTAACCAGCATTAGATATAACCAGCTCTCAGCCACAATCAGCATAATGATTTCTGTGTTAAATCTACTTGCGAATTCTGCTGGTGTCAATAAACGTATTTATGTTTCATTGTGCATACCAAACTGAAAATGATGTACTGAACTGTACACTATAAACACATGTCTAAATACTGCTACACCCCTAATAACCTGCCAAACTAGCGGCGTATTCAAATGAAATGTCATGGTCTATTGTTTTACCG